GAGAGAGAGAGAGAGAGAGAGAGAGAGAGAGAGAGAGAGAACAAATTTCCATAAGTTTTTTATTGGCGAAATACAAAATATAATAATAACAATCATGTTATTATGCTTATAATTAATCACAAGTCCCAAACCTGCACAAGCAGATTCTTAACGGAGTCTTACATTAGAGCGAATTCGGTTACTTGCACTAGTGACTTGTTTACAGTCAATTCTTATATTTAAAGATCGTCTTAAAATATTTGGCCAGTAAAATGTGATCTGTGTAACATCCATACGGATCATTCTTTGGCCAAATATTCTTTGAACATGCATTTAAGACAAAGTTAAATGTAAAAATTGACTATAAATATATTACCAAACTGCCACTACAAATCTAACGAAGCCTGTTGTACACACAGTTTACCGGTAAAATCTGTTCGGTTTCTGTTGTCATGAAATCGTGTCAGTAGACTCGGTCGACACAAACTTTATATATTGTGAATACAGATAATCATGATTTTTTGTTGTGGGATTCTAAGTAAATTTGCTGTCAATCTAGCAGAATATACTGTTAACATATTTTGTCTCCTGAAATTAATATTTATTAATGTTACAATTAATAAGTATAATTGTTATAATTAACAGATATAAATAATATTCGGGTCATACTTTGCCAATCGACGATTTACAACGATGACTAATTGAGAATTTATTTCAAATTGCAATGAGCAAAACTATTAACATTATTGATACCAAAGTAACACATGCAACTTCATTTAGATACATTTTTTAAGTGATCGTTTTAGTCGTGTCGACGATCTGCTAACATTGTCATTCACATGATAACGTTATACTACACGTATTACGTGTTACACCATTATGCGCAATGTTACACCCGTATACTCTGTGTACTAATGAGATTGCTCATTGTGATTATTTCGCACGTGATAGAAAGAGACAGAGGTGATACTGAATGTACTGTACACATATGTGTCACATACACACATGTATGCGTAATCTTTGTATCACGTGATCACAGGCATTTTGCTGAAAGTACTATAAAAAAATGAAAGTTATTAAAAAATTACTGCATGTATTTGAAAATAATAATTCATAATTTTCCGCAGACGTTGTGTGTGATAGTGTGACAGTGTGAAAGGATTTCACGCACCAAAGTAACGGCGGAATACCACGTGATCGAAACCGAAGAGATCAAAGAGCCGACAGAGGCTCGGTATTCATAGTCGATTCCTATTTCAAAATCAACTTAAGTGTTGTCTTAAGAGGCTAACACAGCTCTGTGATTGGTTAAAACACATTACGAGTATACTGAAGATGAGCTTAAATATAAGAATGGATTGCGAATACCGGCCAGAGAGTGGTCACGCTAGTTATAGGGCCATCGCACACAAAATTGCATAGTTGCATATGCATAGCACAAGACCGTCTGGACCAATGAGCATGTTATGTAAATCAATATGGCGACTCAATGCTCGATGTTCATTGGTTTAAACGGCTTTCATGCTATGCACATGCAGCCATGCAATTTTAGGCTTGTTTTCTATTGCTGCACTGGTGAACTAGTGCAGTAAGCTAGAATGAGAAAAAATATACTTGTCCTACTCTAACTTATTGCACTAGTTCACCAGTGCAGCAACAGAAAACAAGCCTATGGTCCGCGCGTAGAATTCACTACGGGCTCAACATGGCGGTCGGCCAATCAGCACGCGAGAAACCGATTGCGCTTCTCTCGTTATTTAGGACTCTATGTCCAGCGAGCGTCATAAAGATGAGCGATACTCACGAGCGTTGCGAGTACCAGAAACTTATCGTATACCCCTGATCGCGCCACACCGATACACGCGTCGCGCATACAGCGGTGGTGTCGCGGATACTTTCACTCGTATGCCCGGACACGCTCGGAGCACGACGCACGATCGCGTTGCCGCGACGAACGGCGATGGACCGCACTTCGACCGCTTTTCGCAGTAACGTCGCGAGAGGCGGCAGCGGTGACGGCCAACTCGGATGACTCACGCGTGTCGCCTCGTAGCCGAGCGCTGGTGGCTCCCCTCTGCTGCGTGTATCTCCCCTGTAGCCGTGCGCCTCGGTTGCCGTTCGTGTTGCAGCAGTGTGACACGGTGCGGTGTACGAATCGTTGGTTCGAGTTGAGGAGAAGGGAGCGATTCCTGGGACAAAGAAAATCGGCCGCGCTCTCTCCGCCGATCTCAGTGTGGCCCGCGCGCGGTGCAGTCAGGTGCGGTGTAGTGTCGTGTCTCGTGCGGGGCTCGGAGTTTCGCGCGAGAGACCCGCTTGCCGGCGGATCGTAAATGTGTCATTATGGCAAATCAAACGATCGGAATGGACCAGTTCTGCGGCACCAAATTCTGGGTGAGTGAGAGGACGAGAAGGAGCGCCCCGGAGCCGTTTCTTTTCCGCTCCTTTTGCCTTCATCCCCTCACGCCTTTTCTACCCCTCCCCCCCTCCCTCCCACCCCCCCCCTCTGTATTCCTGATTCCCTCGCGTTGCGGTTGTCCCCGCGGGTCGCATATGCGAGACTCCCGGGGGCAGCCACGCTCGGAAAAGCCGCTCTGCGTGCTCCGTGCACGAACACCTCGATCGGTCAATCGTCTCGAGACGTTGACGCGTCCGCGCACGACGCTCTCTCGCAGAACCTCGCGGGATCGAACGAAACGGCACGGCAATTTGTCCCTAGACGCGGAACCGCGACAAGTTCGCGCCGAGCGAGAAATCCCGTAGCCCTCTCGATCGCGACCCGCCAATCCCTCCGATGTGATTGATCCGCGGACGGGATTTTACGCGAAATCGGGATGAACCTCGCGGGCACCCCGCGAGAGGAGTCCCCGGCCCGTTCCGTCTCCGCGCGAGCCTCCCGCGGATCACGGGGCGATTGGAGACGTGAAGGGCCCGTGTATAGATCGCGGCCAAGTTCACGCCGGAACATTTGTAGCATTTTCGCGTCTAGGGAAAAGTCACGATCGCCACCCCCCTGGCCATCACTTGTCGCCTCACTTCTCCGCGCCTCGTGCCTTCTTGGACGCACACACACGCGCGCGCGCGCGTACGTATGACGCGTGCGCGTGCATACATACACGCGTATACGCCTTCTGATTATAGAGCCGACGCGATAAAGCAATGTCATTCCCTTCGATTGCGCGATCTTGACGAAATTACAGAAATAAATCTCGCGCGCGCGCAAGGCCGGAGCGTAATCCCAGCGCCGCGTGCACAAATATCGCGCTCAAACAAATGCTTATCAAATTGGGATCCGCGCGTATCACGGAGCTCCTCTTCCGTGCGTGAGCTCGAAGGCAAACAGCGTCGGGCGCGTGTGAAGATGCCTTCGTGTGACAAACAACTCGATAATTACCCACGCAATCCGCGGGGATGAGATGCAGTCGCGGATACGGTCGGGACAATACGGCGCCTCTCCCGCCAATGAGAATGGACAGCCATGAATTTCGGCTCCGACCAAGGACGTGCGACCGTAACTTTCGCTCGCGGCAATATTTGGAGAGGATAATTCCCGTATCGGATAGACGAGAGGGAAGCGGGGAGGAGCGTTGGCACAACTAAAATAGCGGAATGTGCGCGCCCGACGCGTCTTGCTCGCTGTTGTGTAATAGTTTAATTTCCTGAGGCGCGTCACGCCGAGCGGAGCGGCTTGTATCGTTGGACTCTTCCCTTCTTTTGTTTTTTTCTTTACATTCGGTCGTGGCATTACGGCACTCGGTGCATTTGTAGCTCTCAAAATGATCGATTAGTACCTCGAGCGGCGAACTCTTTGTAACGCCTCGTACATTGGAACAAATTGATTCAAAAGAGAAACTTTACGAACAACACGACCCGGTTGCACTGTTACGTAACTTTTAACTTTATCTTAATTCGCTCTCTTTCTAACTGTTTCCCTTAAAAAGAGACAAAGAGTTAATTAAGCAAAAGATAATGTTAAACGACGTTGGTGCAACCTAACGCAGGTTGCATATCTTGGTGCCTCAACGAAGATTTATCGTTAATTTTTGTTTCTGTTGGAGAATTGTTTGTAGCCAGCAAAATTGATAACAGCAATATTCTAGTAATACCTTCTGGGGAAGTTTAGGTTTCACGACTAAATATTAATCATTCACCATCCGGCAACCATGCGGGAGCCATTACGACTGAAGAAGACAGTAGCCGCGAAAGCTTGAAAGCCAAGATTAATCATTCACACTGGATAAAAATGTATTTCGGTACCAGAGCTAGAACAATCTTTGTGAGGAATATAACCGTTTATGTACCACAATTAAACGTTATAATGAATGGACGCCGCAGAAAGATTTCCTTTCTAACATTCGCTAACAGTTTAAATAGAAATTCTACTTCTGTTATTTAAACTGATTAAGTACGAAACAATTAACGTTTAATTGTGTCCGCTTGCATACAAATTACATGACCTGTTTGCACAAATCGAAAGCAGCCTGCAGTTCAGATTAGATCAAAGAATAGCGTCGAATCAGTAAAACTAAGATTAAAAGCCTAATAAAAAAAAGATTACTGAAGAACTTTATTTTATGTAAAAACGCGCATCTTTACACCCAAAGTGTACCCAAATAGCAACGCGTGTCTAAAAGACGTCATAAAGATTTCTTTAAGACACTTTTTAGACATACATGTCTGAAATACAACTTAATGCCATCTTAAAGATGTTTCTTAGACATGCATGCTATCTGGATAGTTAGAGAATGACAAACTATGGGTGCCAGATCTTGCAACACGTGATGTAAAAATACAAGATGACATTGCGTATGTAACCAATTTTTGGGGCAAATTGTTCATTGGTTCTTGCTGCGCTCAACCGCAATGATTCAGCCGTCACTCCAGAATCCCCTTAACCTTTCCATTTGCGCGATCCCTTTATTTCTATGTCAGTCTCATCGGAAACGTCGTCCCATTAATGTCTTTTAATGCTCGTTAGTCCAACGTCCAACGCGCAACGCGCAAGAAAGGAGATAATAGGAACAAATATTAAATACACATTGGTTACGTTCATAGGCAAAAATATAAATATTTCGAGTCATTACTGTATGACGCAACTGCTATTTATATCTTTCATTATATTCTTTTTCCTTGTGCGTAACATTCAATCGCTCTTCTCGTCTAATATTTAATATTTTATTCCTCTTCCTAGTGTTTCCTCTGTGCGCAGAACCTTTTTTTTTATGCAACACTAAAAATTTTGTCATAACTGAAAGAATCGCGAGATATTCGACGCAAGCTAACACGTGACTCTATTTCTATGTGAGTACAAAAAATGTAAGGAGATATTCCTTGGTTTATATGAAAAAACGTTCTGTGAACGCGTGGCTAAAGTGTTTTGTTTTCAAAATACACGGCTTCAAATTTGAGAGAAAAGAAATGAAAATTTCGAAAATCTAAGAAAACTCTTAGAGATATTTTATTCTTTTCCGCTTTGAAAATTACACGCCAGCTAACCAAGTCTTAGAGATATTTTATTCAAATTGGGGCAAATTGTTCATTGGTTCTTGCTGCACTCAACCGCAATGGTTCAGCCGTTACACAGCCGAACATAGGCGCGATTTCGTACACGGTTACCGACAACTATCAATATCGTTAACAACGTTGGTGCAGCTTTCCGCAGTAATTAAAAAAAACACACAAGAAGCAGTTTTCGTTGAGTTTTAATTCGGGATTTCAAACGAATTGTTGAACTTGGAACAAAAAACAATGGCGTATCGTTCTGTTCCGTCGATTTTCGACGGTAGATACATTCAAGGCAAATGAGATTTATCGTGTTAACGAAATAATTCCGGTATTACTTGATAAGTTAATTCGATTTACTTAATCGCCGGGGTATCTTGCACCACTTTATTGTCTTTATTTTGCAAACTTGTGACGATATCGGTGATGCAGATAATAATATTTTTCATCATTTCACTTGAGGATGACTAATTCTTTGATTAAACTCTGATTATCTTAATCGATGATTAAGTTATCAAATAACAATTAATATTGCTTTGTTGAGATGGATGAATTATTAATTTTGTTATCGTATGGGGAAAATAAATTAAGAACAATGAATTATGTAAAATAATTAATTAGAAACTTTGTGATTTTGTTGATTAAATTAATCGGACTTTAGTCGAAGCCATTCTAAAAGCTTTAAAACACTTCGATGAAATTGTATCTCGAAGTATTCTGCTAAAGTAAACTTAAGCCAATCAGACTAAATAATTTAAATGGACGCGGCCGGTACTGTTTTCATATCGTTAAGGAATGCTGATGGATCAGTTTACGTGCACGTGCACCAAATGCGCCTACCTTATTAATTTGCTTTCATATAGAACGTAACACGAGACTTGATGACTAATGGTATCGATTTTTACATAATTGGATAACTGCATCATTTGCATACTTTGTAATTTTCAAAATTAACTCCATAAATTCCATCCAATTCCATTGAGAGTTGGCTGAAGGATACATTTCTCGAAAACCGGTTTCTTTTTTTAAATGCATACATATAACGGAAAATATTGATGTATTGATATTTCTGAAACAAAATTCGACTCCGAGCTCGTCGTTAAGTATGTTGGTAAAGTTAAGCTCGTTAGTTTAATCATATCTCGTAATGGAGAGCGAAATAAAAAGAAGCGATACGATAGAAGGTTAATATTTTGGTCGTAATTTCTGGCTGTTCTAGGACGCTAATCTAACATGGTACACAAACGACCCAGATCTAACAGAATGCTTCCAAAAGACGATATTAGTATGGGTGCCATGTATATTTCTATGGGCGTTCTCGGCGATGGAAGCATATTACCTTTTAAATAGCAAAAGGAGAAACGTCCCGTACACGTGGTTATTTATTTCTAAGCAAGTACTTACAGTAGGATTAATTTTACTTTCCATAGTTGACTTAGGAATGGCGATACACGCAAGTACTTATCGTCCGGTCCACAGTGTTGATTATTGCACACCCGTTATAAAAATTGTTAGCTTTGTAAGTACAACATTATTTTTTATATTAATGTAGTTTTTGTAAACATATCTTAAAATTATTTTTCTATAGTTTTTTAAAATAATTCTCTCTCTCTTTCTCTCTCTCTCTCTCTCTTTCTCTCCTGTTACCGCTATTTCTGTATAAAATAAAAGTAATAAATTATTGATTTTGTCATAAAGAGAGAAAAGTAATTATGTTTACTTATTGCATGTTTTGTAAATTCTTTCGTATAATGTTTGACTTCAATTCTTTAATTTTATTTCAGACATTAGCATCAACTTTAATGCAATACAATAGAAAACATGGAATGCGAACGTCAGGTCTTTTATTCCTCTTTTGGTTTTTCCTTACGATATGTGGATTCGTCCAATATAGAAGCTTTGTATACAAATTCATTAAAGGGGTACGTTCATTGAATTACTTATCATGTTAATAGCTAAAAGCAATTTAAGCGTAGATACACTTACAAATAGCAATTTCTACGTTGGATTTGTTTACAATTTCTTTGGTCTCATCGTAACGGTATCTCGTATTGTCAGTATTGTGATAGTTTACAAGAAAGTTGGTTGTTGATAAGTGAAATAATGCGTTTCACAAAGAAATAACAGATAGAAAATTTATTGATCTCCTCAGAGAATTGCAATTCAAATGCAATACTCTCATAAAGAAATAAAATATTTCAGGCAGAATCGACGTACCCACTGGTGTCTTACATGATCTACTATCCGATAGTAGTGATATTGTTTGTACTTAATTTCCTGGTCGACGCAGAGCCTAAATTCTCCGAATATCCTACGGTAATATCTCCCATATCGATTGACACAATATATATGCTATCTAATATACAGGGTGTTGAAAAATGTGGTACCAAATTTTAGAAATGAGCAACATTTGTGAAAACAAACAAAAAATCTTAATAAGCATTCAAAACCTTTTACTTCTTTATTGCGTTGCGCATTTTCTTATCATCCGTTTTAACACTCATGTTTGCATTGTATAAAGTTATCAATTTTCTGTGAATTGCGCTATGTTTTGTAATGTTAGTTCCCCTGTTTTAATTGAATTGTTCTTTTACCCACTGAGGATGGTCCGATTTGCGACCGTATGTTCATACAAATATTAAATAAATCACTGACACTAAAATCTAGTCTCGACAATGAGCCCTTTTTACTATATGATTTTTTATCATACGAGCTACTGTCTTTTATTTTATTTCTGATCTATAAAGTATTATTTGTTGTATAACAAGTTTAAAGTATATTTAATTTACAGTAAATGTTTGATGTGTCCTTTGTTCATTTCAATACATAATTCGCAAGTTTTCATGCTACATATTCCTAAAATTTGTTACCACATTTTTTCAACACCTTGTATATGATGCGCATAGATGTGTAAAATCTTGGAATAAACTGTAAGATATAGAAGCTGTGTTGACGAACAATTTGAAATACGTTCACTCGCAGGTTGAATCGCCATGTCCAGAGCAAAGTTCTTCTTTTCCTTCGAGAATTTTTTTCGCATGGTTCGATTCCTTAGCGTGGAAAGGTTTTCGAAAGCCGCTCGAGACGTCTGATCTGTGGTCCATGAATCCAGAAGACATGGCCACGGAGATTGTGCCGAAATTCGACAAATACTGGAACAAGAACCTGAGAAAGACAGACGAGTAAGTTTAATTGATAAATCTCTCGGTACAACTCAAGGTTATCTGCAATCAATATGACTTGGCTAAGCTACTTTGAAAGTTACTTATTTAAAATTTCGCGAGGAGAAAAATATAGGGAATACATTTGTACATCGATATCAGTATCGATATGAAGCATACACATTCGAAAGAATGTATATTTTACATATATTAAGAGCAATAAATTGCTGATAATGTAAACATATATGTAGAATTATTTGCAGCTTTAGGAATTTTTTAATCGGTCTGTTCGTAAAGGTGCATTTTCCGAATATATTATTGCATTATCTTATCTGCTTTATAGCTAGCATATTATTTGCATATACCTCATGTTAAAAAAATATTTAGATGACAGTACAATGCTCTCTAACAAAGTATTTTTTTAACAACATGTTCATACATTTCTTGTGCTAACAAGGCTGATTTGGACTTACTTTAGGTAGGATGTGTCGTATAACATGTCTCGATTATTTTTATCATTCAGCCTAACAGGGACAAATATAACAGACTGTTTTTTTATACATATAGAGTAGAAAGTGCAAAAGCATCATACCGAAAAGCATCTGGACAAGTGGACTTTAACAGCGGTCGGAAAAAGAAAATTGCTTCCATCCTACCACCTATCTGCAAAGCTTTCGGAGCAACGTTCATGTTCGGCGCATTCTTGAAACTAATTCAAGATGTTATGACCTTCATTAGCCCACAAATATTAAGGTAAGTACAGAAAAAAATATTTATACACAAATCCTGATTTATATCCTAATCCTAATCTGCGTTTTATTAAGTAAATAACGTGAGACAAAACGGCGCTAATGTTGCAAAATTATTCCGATGTTCATGATGCGTTTATATAATATATGATAATATAATTTCTATGCATATAGTCATATTATAATATGACTTTTTGTAATGTTTTTTTCATATCTTTTAGGCTTCTGATTGATTTTATCGAAGGAGAGGAGTCAATGTGGAAAGGATACCTTTATGCTGCATTACTGTTACTTACCGCGATACTTCAGACGCTTGTGCTGTCACAATATTTTCATCGTATGTTTTTGGTCGGGCTGCGCATACGTACCGCGCTAATCGCGGCGATTTACCGTAAAGCGTTGAGGATGTCAAATGCAGCGAGAAAAGAGACCACGCTCGGCGAGATAGTGAACCTGATGTCCGTTGATGCTCAAAGATTCATGGACCTAACCGCGTACATAAATATGATCTGGTCGGCGCCCCTGCAAATAGTTCTAGCTTTATATTTTCTCTGGAACATATTGGGACCGGCCGTGTTGGCCGGTTTAGCAGTTATGATTATTCTCATTCCTATAAATGGGGTGATTGCCAACAAAGTGAAGACGTTACAAATTAGACAGATGAAGAGCAAGGACGAGAGGGTAAAGTTAATGAACGAAGTACTTAACGGTATCAAAGTGTTGAAGCTCTACGCATGGGAACCCTCGTTCGAGCAGCAGATACTTAAAATCAGGGTCAAGGAGATTCAAGTGTTAAAAGAAGCGGCGTATCTGAACGCCGGTACGAGTTTCATATGGTCATGCGCGCCCTTTTTGGTACGTTCCTTTTTCGAAACAGTGAATTCTATGTCATAATCGGAAAGCTCAGAAATATAAATCTTACGGAGCACTCTCGTAACGCGAACATTTTTCTCTCTCAACTCGTATCTTTTTCTTCCTTCTTTTTACAGTCTTACAAAATCTTATAACTTACTAGGAAACGAAGTGTCCCCCTCCGATTTGGATGAACTTTGAATGTATTGTTATCCAGCTAAAAATAAGACACGTATTTTTTTTATATGTGCCCATACGCACTTTTAGGGGGTGAGACACCCCTGTGAAAATATCTTCGAAACCATAAGAGATAGAAAGTTCTATTTTTTTAATTAAATGGCTTTAAAAGTACTAAAAAACGGCGGAAGAAAAAAATTTTTATTAAAAGAATTTTGCAACATACCCCCATCTATACAAATTAAACAAATTTTTTTAATTTTGTTATCGCCAAACAAAAGGTTAATTTTTTTATGAATTCAAACATATAATGTTGCGTTTCGTAAAGTAATTTTAGAGAAATAATTAAAATCGTCTCTGTATATTGCGCTATTTGGTCGTCCACGCGATCGAGTCTTCACGCAACACGTTTTTCCTGTAATAAGAGATAACAAATACACTTGGGAGATATTCTAACTATATATCATCATAATGGAAAGAGGGGAATACTTCATAACGTTTCCTTGTTAGTACAATTCTTTTAAAAAAGTTTTACTGTATATACCTTCTTTTGGAAAAAATTTTTTGTCGAAACATGTGCCATGAAATAACAGTGAATATTATTTCTTTTTCACTTTTAAGATTTTTTATTACTTATATTGAATCAAATATCCTGTCTTTTTTTCATATATATTATCTTACTATTTTATAAATGTATCTCTGCAGGTATCTCTGGTATCTTTTACAACTTATGTACTTATAGACGAAAAGAACGTCCTAAATAGTAAGATTGCCTTTGTTTCGCTCAGTTTGTTCAATATCTTGAGATTTCCACTGTCCATGCTGCCTATGATGATTGGTAACATTGTTCAAGTAAGTTTATGTAACACATACATGTATATGATTTTCATCTATATACTTTAGAAATACAAATTTATGTTTTATGCTTGACTAATATTTTTGTGTGCACATTTACAGGCTTACGTCTCTGTAAAACGTATTAATAAATTTATGAACATGGAGGAGCTGGATCCTAATAATGTACAGCACGATCCATCGGAACGTAAGTATAAAATTTTCTCTTTTGAAATAATATCGTCTCTGCGTATGTTTATATAATGTCTACAGTATGCCTTTTATTACATTGATTTAGCGAACGCGTTAGTAATTGAGAACGGTAGCTTCTGTTGGGACAGCGAGGAAATTGAGAGACCAATACTACGAAATATCAATTTCCATGTAGAACAAGGTCAATTAGTAGCAATAGTTGGTACAGTGGGATCAGGCAAGAGTTCCCTTTTATCCGCTTTGCTTGGCGAGATGGACAAATTAAGTGGGAAAGTAAATACAAAAGTGAGTATTCTATCGTTGAGTAAAAAACACGAAATATAAAAACAAAACTTATATTTCTCTTGTGCAAACAAAAATGGTGACGAGATTGAAGAAAAGAAAATACAATATCAGGCTCTTAAATTAATGACTTACAATTAAATGGCTTAATATTAATTAATAGCTCTTAATTCAGTGTCGATAAAATCATAGAACGATATGTTTTATTTATACACATCTCACAGATTAGATGGATAAAAATATTGATTGTGGAATTTGAAGATTAATACTACGACATTTTTCTTAGGGATCAATTGCATACGTTTCGCAACAAGCGTGGATACAAAATGCCACGTTGCAGGACAATGTTCTATTCGGAAAGGCCTTTAACAAATCGATATATAATCGTGTAATTGAAGCGTGTGCACTGACTCCGGACTTCAAGATGTTGCCCGCGGGTGATCAAACGGAGATCGGAGAGAAAGGCATAAATTTGTCAGGTGGTCAAAAACAGAGAGTAGCCTTAGCTAGAGCTGTATATAACGATTCGGAAAATTATTTCCTGGATGATCCTCTGAGCGCGGTGGATTCGCACGTAGGGAAACACATTTTTGAGAAAGTGATAGGTCCGAATGGCCTGTTGAAGAAGAAGACTAGAGTACTTGTTACGCATAGCATCACATATCTGCCAGAGGTTGACAACATTATTGTTCTTAAAGACGGTGAGATAACGGAGTGTGGCACCTACAAGCAATTACTAGAGAAAAAAGGTGCTTTCGCCGAGTTCTTAGTGCAGCACTTACAAGAAGGTATCTATTAATAATTTGTGCTCTCGTCGCGTATTTTTATATATTGTACTTATTATGTAAATTTATTGTTACATTTTCCCTGGATTTAAGTTGGAAATAGTAAGTCCGCGAAAAAGTAATTACATTTCCTTCTCCTATTATGTATGCCTGCACAAGGAATACCGCTATATTTGGCTTGATTAGAGATCATTAACGATGAAATAATGTAATTTGATTTAATATCTCATTAAATCAAAAGTCTCGCCATCCCTTTGTTTGAAGTTTTTGCTTGCCGACAAAGTAGTAATGAACAGTTCGTTTGATACTTATCTTTTACTAGCGCAACTAATTCGATATAGATGCTGTCGTGATATGGAATTGTTTAATGCATAAAAAAACCATTTATATATCATAATTAAAATATCTTGCAGCTTTTACATTAAAATAACTTTTTGAAGTTTTTGAATTAGGATGTCTGTGAATTGCTAATTTTGAATAATTCCATTTCTAGTTTAATTCCAACAAATTGTTTCTCAACTCTTAATCTTTGAATTCCCGTACTTGTACCATAGTAAAAAAAGTGTGCATGTACGAGTTTCTTTGAATTTCTTCCCATTTGTACAGCATTGTGAACGATTTGTCATTATTCTAAAATCACACGATGAATTTGAAACAGTGCACGTTGACGAGGGTTCCGAAGCAGATTTACGTGAAATTAAACAGCAGCTCGAATCGACAATGGGGGCGGATGAGCTGCAACAAAAGTTAACTCAAGTACGGACCAGGATATCCGAGAGTCTAAGTGAATCCGGTTCTGTGACCGACAAAAAATCACTTAATGGTTCTTTGAAACGGTATGCTCTCATAAATATGATATTTCGTTATGTCGATTTACATCGTTAGTAATATTGATTTGAAAATATTGTACGTTGTGTACGAGCAGGCAATACTCGACGGATAGTCAGCAGTCGGTGAATTACGTGCATAGCAATAGTACAAAGGAGAAGGAAGCGCCGAAGCCCAACAACGTCGGGGAGAAGCTAATAGAAGTCGAGAAAACCGAAACCGGAAGCGTAAGTTGCTACAAGATATCACTGCTTAGGACGCACTCGTTACGAAGGCAAATATGTCTCCAACAATTCGCTTTTTACGAAGGAGAGACTACTTTTATACTTACATCGTGTTATACTTTTCAAGGTAAAATGGAAGGTGTACTCTCACTACTTGAAATCCATCGGATGGTTCTTGTCGATATCGACGATCGTGATGAACGCGGTCTTCCAGGCGTTCAGCATCGGCTCGAGCGTCTGGCTCAGCGTTTGGTCAAACGATAATCAAACCATTGGAAATAACACAATTGATACAGCGAGGCGTGATATGTACCTCGGTGTATACGGTGCACTCGGTTTCGGCCAAGGTATGTTTCCACATCACACGTTAATCCTTCTAACATATCCGTTTGTCAGATAAATTCGATAGTCGATATTGTATACAATTTCGCGTTTACGATGGACAAATATATCAGGTAAGCCTATCCCCCCTGCCCCGCCCCCGCCCCCGCCCCCGCCCCGTCACTGCTACATGTATCTATACATAAATTACATTTTTCTACCACAGAAGGCAATTACTTTATTTAATACAATGTTAACAGGCAATGGCACTTAATTTTGCTCGTCATAGCGTATTGTAACTCAAAAGGCATGTTCCCTCACAGATTACACATCATTGGGGTATAGTTTAATCTTAATGTAGTTCCTTCATTTTAAAACTCGATTAAGCCGAGTTACTAATAATAAAAAACCATCAATTAACTACTAATGTGATGATCCTTTTCGCTCGGAATAATGTTATAATATACGCGAATATATAACGTCATTACACGCGTTTAATTCTATAAAAGTAATACGAATAATTTCCTTTTAAGAAATCAAACTGAGTGTGGTTTGCTGTGTTTACAGAGCACTAATGTTACTAATTAAGAACTCAAAAGGCAATTAGAGAGTGAAACTTTTCAGTAGCCATGTGTTTATGATTGCAAGTGTCGTAGTCATGATTATCTACAAATGATCGCTTCTTTATTATTGCATGAAACGTCTTTCTGTTTGAAATGCCTTTTATTCGATGCAACTTGCACCTTCTGTTAAATGATTTATTAATCTTTATTCATAATTTTTTCTATACGCCAGAATTTAAATTTTATGACTGATATAAACAGAAAGTAACGCAGTAAAATTGTTGGAGGATACTTACACATGTATATACAATATACATGTGTATATATGTGTATGTGTGTGTGCGTGTGCGTGTGTAAATACACACAAGTGTATATATGTATGTACAATAAGACATTGCAATAATTTTTACATGCATTTTGCATACATATAATTCCGTTTTATATATTTCTGCTCAATATCTTTCTGTGATCTTGTGATCAAGCTGTAATCTATCAAAAATTTGTTTGATGCCATTTACTAGTTAATACTCCATTGTAACTTTATCTAATATGAACTATAAGTAACGTGACATTTATTATTTTATATTTTATATTTGTGTTTAAAGTTTACTATAGAAAACGAGGATAATTTTTTAATACTAGCACATTGCTACGTCTAATGTAAACATGAAGTAGAGGAACAAAAGAAAGCTTCCTAGCATTAATATCTTAAAATGTTTAAAGAAAAACGGGAAATCAGTACCATTGGTCGATTTATAATATTAATATGTATGCTTCTCTTGATTGAAATCAGTATATAATGAATGTAATCGAACATAATTATTCATTTAACTGAATGGAGGATGACTGAACATTTCGCAAAATGTTTGCGCTGATTTCCTGATCCGGTCATGCGTGTAAATTGAGACGGATGACTATAACAGCGCAACACTTTTATCTAGACGAACTCAAACAGGTTTCAGACGGAGGGAGACTTCAGACACTTCTCGCTTGCCAACCGCGATTACGTTTGTTCCTTTAATTTGGCTAAAGTCCTCACTGAGATGCATTGTGCCTGAATTTTTGTTACGTTTAAAAACACATATTGCGACACGTTTAACACTAAATGTGACCAAATTTCTTGCTCGAATCATCTACTGTGCAAAGTATAATAATGATAATCAATTTAGTTAAATGAAAATTAACTTGAGAATTACATTTAAACGCTCATACTGTACACTTCTTCAAATCCACCCTTATTTACATTCGTATGAAAAAATGCCTGTATATCGAAATACGAATGTCGAGCAAAACGTGGAATCGCACAGTCACGTCTAATGCTAAATGAGTTGTAATGAGAATGCGAACCGTATCTCGCATATGTCGTCAAGTTTTCTCCATCTCGAGCCACGACGATCTAACCGTTCTAACTTCGCTTTTCGTTTCGTTGTTAACTTATTGTTTCCGCTAATGACTAACGCCAGCTAGATTAGTGTGACTTTATGCCTAATTGAAATGACAAAGATTAATTGTTCTTAAACCTCCTATGTAAAGGCTTTTTTCCTATAGCGTTCAAATTTAACTATATGTGTGCATCAGCAAGTCAATTTGAAAGACAAAGCAGTACAAGTCGCGTAAAAGTAACCGATATTTTTTTTTTGTAGAACTCACGAGCGAGTAGTTGGAGGAAAAAAGGAATCTTCCCCCTGCCCCCCTCTCCCCGACACGAGACAAGACGCCGCATTTATTTACTTTAAATTAAATTTCAGCTACTTTTGTAGTGCTGTCGCACGCAACGTTGGCTATCGGCTGCCTACGGAGCAGTAAACTGCTGCATTCCGAGTTATTATCCGCCATGCTACGATCACCTTTAGGATTCTTTGACACTACGCCATCCGGCAGAATATTAAACCGTTTTGGAAAGGATATTGACGTAGTAGACAACGTTTTGCCTCCAAATCTTAGGGCTTGGTTGTTGTGTCTAGCATCGGTATGACGAGAGTTTTGGTTTTAATCTCTGTATGCATCACTATATCAATCGGTGTTTAGAAGAAACCACTGGTCCACCAATCGGTACAAATATGATTAATTGTACACCGGCAATCAATTGAAGAGTTTCCGGTCTTCTCGCAGTCTCTATTCTTCATTAATGTCCATTAATGATTAATAGACGACTATCAGAAGCACGTGTTATTAACGAATTAACGAGCGATTGCATGCCTGGCCCGACACTATACGTGCCTCTTTTCTCACAGTGCAATCACACAAGGTACCATCTCTCCGTCACTTATTCTTATCTTCTCGTTGTCATACTCCGCGCTCCATTTCTCTGCCCGCAATTTATTATTTGCACCCATACTTGCCTCTCTTTAATTATGTGCACCTCAATTCATGTGTGACTGCAGTGAGGAACTTGCATATGACGTTTAGCTGAACCAGGTGATGAGCAACTAATGAAAATGAACATTGCCGATCATAGAGCCTTAAGATAACTCTGTCTCTCTCTTTCTCTCACTCACTTCTAAAGAGCCCTCGTTACATCCAACGCGACACAATTCGCGGACGCGAAATGCCTGAATATGTAAAAAAAAACTTATTTTTTAATCCGATAAATCATAAAGTTGATTACCGATCGTTGTAGGCGTGACAGTATTCGCAATGGCTATATTCCTGGCTAGAGGGACGGTACGCGCTTCTAGGCGTATCTTCGAGGGTACGCTGCAACGTGTTCTTCACAACCCAATGTCATTCTTTGACAGAACTCCGACTGGCCGAATTCTCAGTCGGCTTGGTAAAGACATTGATGTTCTTGACAATATCCTACCGATTATTCTACGTACTTGGGTCACTTGCCTTTTTGGGGTATGATATTCATATAACTACTGTATATAAGTAATGATCTCTGTGACAAATTGTTATGAATTAATATTAAGTCTGTTACTTGTCGAGCGATACTTGATACACATATTGATATATACAGACTGTCCCAAAACTCAGAATTGACCTTTGAAGGGGTGAAAGAATAAAATTCTGAGTTCTTTTTTTGTCACTTTTCTCTCCGATCATTATTCACTGAATTGTTTAACAATTAAGTTGTACCCATCCCGTGCGCGCTGCAGTGCCGGTTTATACTTAACGTCCATACTTTTGAAAATTAATGACTGGTACGTCAATTTATTTAAAAACAACAAGACAAATGAAATAACACGGGAAGGTATGGGCGTTGAATGGGACACCGGTACTGTCATTCGACTCCACATTCATCGACCTAATTGTTTAGTAACTCGGTGAATAATGATCGGAGAGAACTGTGACAGAGGAACTTTCATCTCAGAATTTTATCCCCTCTCTTACTCCTTTAATAAAATCAATTATGTTTTTTGGGACACTTAATTTTCTTATTTCAATTCATATTTTAATTTACTTTTGAGTATTGACACTCGAAGGATTCCCGTTGTTTTCTATTGTATTGCTCAATGATTTACGTCATACAAGTAATTTATATTTTATTGATTTTACATCGAAATTAAGGATGGAACCAAGTTCAACATGTACTTAAAAATTTAAGTTAAATCCAACAATCCATTTTCTAGAATTCGAGCAATATTTCATACATTGTATAATACTTACAAAGCAATTGTCCCACCTAGTTAGTTTCAAATTTTTTAATAAGTACTTGTAGAATTTAAACTATAAATGTACTTATAAATAGTTCCTATTGTACAAAATTTTTTACAAGTAATACTCAAACTCTAAGAACAATATTGGCAGTTTAAAGAATGTGTAAATAAGTAGAGATTTCAAGTGTAACTTTTATTCTGTAGTTTCAATCATATTTTTATTAAATTTCTTTACTACTTATTTTATTATATTTATTTCTAACAATTGAGATAATCTAATATTTGTAATTTTTAAAAATGGTACTTATAAGAAATTCGAACATATTGTGTGAATTCAGGTTCGAGTCTACTTGAAAGTACTGCTTTCAGTTTTTAAAGTAATCATAGAGAGTTTGAAGCTATGCCAACAAATTTGGACTTAATTGTAAAGTACTTGATCCCATCGCTAATCAGAGTTACTTGAAACTCGATGAGATTTACAAATGCGAAATAAAAGAATATTTTTTCTTCTATCGATAAAATCGCGCGTTTATGTGTATGTTGTTCCATATCTTTTTTATATATATTAGAAACTTGATAGACGTGCAATGAGTTAAAATGCTGCTTTCCAGCAGTAGAAATGTACATTTTTTGTCGAATTTGGATTTGATTGCTGGAAATTTGAATGTAGCATAATTTTGACTAAAAGTTTTAGAAGAAACGGCGAAATATAGTAACTTAGCCTGCCGGCTAAGCGTGTAAGGGCACGGGTACGCTACTTGACGCGTGTGAGAAGTTTCCGGCAATCAGCACAGTGGATCAACAAGCGTGAATGAAATACGACAGAACATGGTAAGAGATATCCTCGATGCTGCTTACTTGGCTCAAACAGCACTTGAGCGGCTTACCCGTGCGTCTTATGCGTTCAGCCGGCCAGGTAACAGGTACAAAATTTGACTGCTTTCTTCCTCGGCTTAATTTTTCTTCGAATACATCAAAAGATAACGATATCCGTTTTTTAAGTGAGAGAGCAACACATGGTACAATCGGAAAGAAAAACGTATCTGTGTACGAGATCGATCAAGTCCTAATTCCGACGGTCTGCTAGGACTTAACTGCGAGAAGATATAACTGCAGGAGAAACACGCAAAGTCATATCAACGAATCGTACCTTTTCCGTAGTGCTAAAGCTCGTTCAATTCGTCTCATTTTTGGGCTTTATTTTACGAAAGGGTGATATGATTCACGAAAAATGCTTCTGTCGGATTTTACATTATGCTATCCAGTCGCATCGCGGAAGTAGCATAAAATTCATCGAGGTTGACCGTGGTCATGTAAATTGCTCATGTGGCGTGTCCAATTGCTTTATTTCAGGATTAAAACGTGGTAGGGCCGGATAGCCCGCTGTTTGCCTCCTTTAGGAGATGCTATCGTTGATGATGTTCATTTTCGTTTACTGTCAGTATATGTATTTGGGTTCGGCGACTTATTGTTAAAGACGCTAAAGAATGGCGATCGTCTTGTTTTTGTTCACTTAAACCATTTAATATCACTCAAGACAAAACTTGTCTTCGTCAAATCATTGTCACATTTACATTATCATTATCGCTTAGCAAACTTTACAATTGTTTTCTCTTACATTCGTATCGATTTCTTTTTACATTAAGTTCTTTCTTTGTTTCAGTTACTGTTTGAGAACGTTAATTTGATCTTGTCTCCCGACTGTCGTGACAATTTGTACGATTTGTATATAAATCATAGTGCAACCATAGTGTAGTAATCATTCAGGGAATGGACACAATTATACCAGTAATATTCGTGTTCAGAAATGGTCTTGCTTGTGCTTGGTAACGCTTATTACTCTATTACTTGCTTGTATAACATCCTCCTAATTACGATTCTGCCTTCTGGAAACGTGCAATTTATTTGTATTTCCTGTTGCTATATATATATTTATATATAGATATATAAATATATAGATAAATATACATATACATATGTATATACCAAGTCTGGTAGGCCACACAGCAAACTCCACATCTTCGCATAACGTGAAATCAGAACGATTAAGTTTAAGCCTATGATATTGCCAAATTGCACTTGACAATGTAGCGGCATTACGATAGAAAAGACAAAGATAAATGTTGTTTATAGCAATCGTTTAACAGTTGCAGTAAACCTCGTTAAAAGGAGAAACGAGCACGTTTAAGTCCGACAATCAGATCAAGAACTGTCCTTTAATCGTATAATAAATGTCTCATCTAACGTACAACACATTGTCTGCTTACGAGATAAGTTATCGTTAATTCTTTGCGCATTATCGTTGTTTTTTTTTTATTTTTATTTACGAATCGCGCATACTATATCAGGTTGCGGTTACAATGAAAGTCATCCATGTCTGATGTTGTAGCGGTGGCGAGCTTTTTCTGCGATTTGGCACCGCAGCTGGGTTGTTGGTTGGCTGCTCGCCAGATGCACATAGTGATGCTGCGTGCTGTGATGCGTGCCCCATTGACCTTCTTTGATACGACTCCTATTGGTCGTATTATCTCCAGGTTTGCTAAAGACGTGGACGTACTGGATACATCTCTTCCCCCACAAATTTCTGATACCATCTATTGCTTGTTCGAGGTAATTTCTTTCGTAGCGCGCCGAGAATACTGATTGGGATCTCTCCTTATCATTGCTTTCCCATATCTTCTCGACCTCGCAGTTTGAGTTCCACACGTATACCATCACTATCCACCTTGCATACACCTTAGACAGCAATCAAATATGTTATTGTCCCCGGATATATAATTTGTGTTTGTCAAGAGGTGCCTGAATAATGGTGGTATTGGTATATTATTGTACGCTGGACAACGTGGATGGGGCATAATCCCGTCTGTAGCTTTGCAAACTGGTTTCGAGAGTACATTTGGAATACGAATAAATATGCCGTAGAGCCTGCCGTCGACTATAATTGTGTCCGTTCTCGCAAAACGACTACAGTCGATGAATTCCTCTGTCTATACCGGAGTAAGAGGTTTACTTTAGCAAGTTTACTTAGCAGTATCGAGTTTTCACTTGAAACAAATATCTTAATATCTTGACGCTAACGCTTATATGTACTTGTCTAATGCACAGCAATAATCATATTCACAGTACATGTTGGTGGGCCTATGAAACGACCAGCGCTAGCTTGTCTTTGTTTTGTACAACGTCTGCTGTCCGGAAGAAACATAGGCGCTTCATTCAATAGAATTTTCGCATGGGAGATATTATCAGTCTCTTTATTTATACCTCTTTTATGAAGCTGATTCGTTCGATCAACTTTGCGTAATTCTTTATATTTATACATTTTTCCGACACGCAGATATTTCTTCCTGCTCCGATTAATTTATATCGCGCACAACACCTCGCGTTCACAGTCTTGTGAGAATAATGATAAGATGGGATATTTTCAGTGTTATTAACGGTTGTATGCATTGCAGGTGATAGCTACTCTTGTTGTCATAAGCTACAGTACACCTATATTTGTCGTGGTGATACTGCCAATAGGCGCGATTTATTACTTTATTCAACGTTTTTACGTTGCAACGTCGCGCCAATTAAAACGATTAGAGTCCGTGTCAAGATCTCCTATATATTCACATTTTAGTGAATCGGTGACTGGTATGTTTAAAAGTTATATACGCATGCCCTGTATAATATTTTACTTCGTCCAAATGTTTATGTTTCTCTAGAAATAATCTATTTATCTGTCATTTAGGTGCACAAATAATCAGAGCGTACGGTGTACAAGAACAATTTATTCATGAATCTGAAAATAGGGTAGATTTCAATCAAGTGTGTTACTTTCCTAGCATTATTGCAAACAGGTACATCTTTATATGCTATAATTACATTTCTGTATACACAATTATTAATTAACACGCATATGTTGTAGATGGCTGGCCGTGAGATTGGAGATGGTTGGAAATTTAATCATATTCTTCGCAGCATTATTCGCTGTTTTAGGTAGAGATACCATGAGTTCAGGACTCGTTGGTCTATCAGTCAGCTACGCCTTACAAGTAAGATATAATTACGATTATTCACCAGGGTTATATAGAAGTCAACTTTGTACTTTTAAATGGAATCTCCTATTTTTCGTTGTACGTTCTCGTAGTTTACGAGAACTTGTCGAAACATAATGAAGTTTTTTTTATTTGGTATTTTTTGAGTTAGGGCTTGAGTTATGAAGCTTGACAGTTGCAATACCGTCGTCATTAGTATTACCCAAAGTGTACCACGCGGAGGTTGCACGGTCGAAATTACATCTGAGTTATATTTAAATTTATAATTGACCTTTAAGAGGACGAAAAGGGATAAAATTCTGAAACAAGAGTTCCTCTATCACTTTTCTTTTCAATCTTGATTTACTGAGTTATTTAACAATTAAGTCGACTAATCCCGTGCGCGCTGCAGTATCGGTTTAAACGCTGCAAAGATCCCACGCTTAATGTCCATACTTTTAAAAATAATAATTGGCTCATCAATTTATTGAAAAACGAAACAATAAAAACAAATAAAAAATTTAGAGAGATGATGAATGAAACACTGGTACTATTATCCGACTCAGATTGCACCGACCTAATTTGAAATAACAGTGAATAATGGCCGGAGAGAAATGTAACTCAGGAACTTTCGTATTAGAATTTTATCCTCTTTACCTCCTCAAAGATCATTATGAATTTTGACACATCCTGTATGTATTACAATGTAATATTTTCTATCATGTCGATATTGTCGATCGAACGTTTCTGATGAACGTTTTAAGCCGAATCAAAATATTCAAAAGCACTTACAAGTCACAGCATGCAACTTTAGTGATATTTATATGTCACTTTATGAAAAAATCATATACATTCATGTATAAGAATTCATGTTATGTCTGCTACAGATTACCCAGACCTTAAATTGGCTGGTGCGCATGACGTCTGACGTCGAGACTAATATCGTCGCGGTAGAGAGAATAAAAGAGTACGGCGAGACCCCGCAAGAAGCGCCATGGAAAAATCCAGAGAATACGCCTCCGAAAGAGTGGCCTAGACATGGTCGCGTCGACTTTAAGGACTTTAAAGTCCGCTACAGGGAGGGATTGGATCTCGTGCTGCATGGCCTGACGTTCAGCGTTCTCGGCGGCGAGAAGATTGGCATAGTAGGCAGAACCGGCGCTGGAAAGTCCTCTTTAACATTGGCGTTCTTCAGAATAATTGAGGCGGCCCACGGAAAGATCTTGATCGACGATATTGATATTTCTAAGCTAGGGCTTCACGATCTGCGTTCGAGATTGACCATCATCCCTCAGGATCCCGTATTGTTCTCCGGAACGCTAAGGATGAATCTGGATCCTTTCGATTGCCACTCCGACGAAGAAGTCTGGCGAGCATTAGAGCACGCTCATCTGAAATCTTTTATAGCAAGTATGAATGATTTTTATGGATTTTCTCTTAAGGAATTTCGGCGACTCGTACTTTTTAAAAGTATACTCTATTTTTTTTCAGACTTGCCAAGCGCCCTTTTACACGAAGTTTCCGAAGGCGGAGAGAATTTAAGCGTAGGACAACGACAGTTGATATGCTTGGCGAGAGCGTTACTTAGGAAAACGAAAGTTCTCATATTGGACGAGGCTACAGCCGCGGTTGATTTAGAGACAGATGATTTAATTCAGACTACCATCCGCCAAGAATTTAAAGAGTGTACAGTTCTCACAATAGCCCACAGGCTCAACACTATTTTGGATTCTGACAGGTATGTTTCAAATTATTTTAACATTGTATTTCTCGCGCACGTGTATATACGTGTGTACTACAATTATTTTATTTAGAATGGTATTTTATACAATATCTGTACTTATGTAAATTCATCTTTCTTTTTAAGACAAGTAGATAATAATATATTCCAGTTCTTACCTAATTTCATATTTTTTGTCTAATTGTTCTGAATAGAGAACGAACAATTATATGTAAATACAAACACACTCACTCCAAGAAAGCGGTACACTTAAGATTTGGGAAAAATCACAAATTTTCCAACGACAATAACTTCGTAAATAGTAGATCGAGATGATATCGAGATGAATAAAAAAGCATTTTAAAGAGAAAACTCTGTACTATCATGCTTTTATGCTATTGACTCGCGACATTCGACTCACGCCATGTGCCGTGGCAAACTCGGACTATCATTTTTCAATTTTGTATCCTTTTGTTTTGTCATACGCCATTTTCATACACAAATTTATCGCGCAACATTGAAATGAATTGCTTCTTAAAGTAGAGATTCCAAGCTTTATTTTCATTTTTTATAGACCTTTCTATCTTTATTATTTACGAAGTTATCGTCGTTTGAAAATCAGTAATTTTTTCCGCAAATTTTCAGTATACCGCTTTTTTTTAGAGTAAATATATTTTAAAATATAATTAAAAATGATATAATCATGATTTTTTAAGTATAAATTAATATTCCAAGAAATGGATAAAAATTTCAAAATGAGTGTAGTTGTTTAATTTAATTCGCGTTGTAATAATCTTTTTAAATGTTTGAAATATTTACTACTTGAAGTTGCACCTCACAGCAAAAAATTGGTGGACTACTTCTATTTTAACTTCTGCTTTTATTATGTTAGAGTAATTTTCTATATTTGATAGGATCACAAAACTATTTGCTACTTTCAGCTTACATCACAAATAATAATTATGTTTCAGGGTGATTGTATTGGACAAAGGTCTGATCGTCGAATATGATTCTCCGGAAGTGTTACTTCGCAATCCAGCTAGCTCTTTCTACAGTATGGCTAAGGATGCAGGGTTAGCTGCTTAAGCAAAAAAAAAGAATTTATATCACATAATCATTTTTTTAACGTCTATACGTTATCCGCGAGCAGACGTTGAAGTACACGCAAAAACCATAGAACAAAAAGAAACGCGTAGCCTTAGTATAGATTAATTTGTATAGTGAAATGTTTCTACGCAGAACAAGAGAGTTTTACGTAATCGACAGTGCAAGTAAGCTGATTTCTCGTCAGAATTGTTGTCAGATCTTATCCTCCGTGATGAGTAATGATTTCTCGATTGCATCGTCGATTATCGAACCTCATATATCCTAGAATAAGTTTTGTAGTGTGGTCTTTCATCACGAAGCAAGCAATGCGATACACCTCGGTTCTAAACTAACGTCGATATACGATAATCCAACTTTAATTGGGCAGTAATCGGGTGGATTCCTATATCCCTGATTAATATGTCAGCATTTCAATAAATAGAGCGTTAATGAATTATTTTCTTGCAACGCGCTTTGTGTTCTTTTTTGACAAATCCATCTTTATAACTTTTAATGAAATTAACGTACTTAATTGTGAACGTTTTTAAAAATACATTATAACAAGTTTTTTATTTACTCGTTTATAGAGCAACAGCATTTAATTAATACATAATAATATATACTAATTAATATTATATCAAATTATATTTAATCTACTAAATTTAATATTAATACAATATAATATTATATTATTATGTTATGAACGATGTACTTACGGAATGAATTCCCGTCGGAAAACTTTTAAGTAAATAATATTAGTTTGAATATAGTATTTATGAACTATAAGAGATTGACTATGTTTCCAAAATATTCGGTCGATCGATAAAATATTTGCACCTGATTAACTACCGAGTTATATGACGCCCATTTGAATACTCGTAGTTCCGATTACTAAAGTAAGACACTATCGACGAACGTGTGTACAATGATCGATAAAAGTGCGTGTTCACTCAGATTATAAAAAGAAGGAGGACAAAAAGTTAACCCTGATTGTTCCAAGAAACTCATCAATTTAGAACTTTAAAATGTCGTTTTGAGCGTTAGAATACCATTCTCATAATTACTGCTTTAATAATACATTCAAGGTATGTTCTCCTCTATTTGAGTGCACAATTTGATTTTTTCCCCCGTAAACTATATCGTTCATTCTGAAAAATGCATTTTTATTTTCATATTTTCCTTTAACATATATGACAATCAATCGCAAATTATTTATTGTCACCATGATTGATAGATCTGTGTAATTTAATTTGATATTTGCTGCATACTTACCTTACTGAGAAACTGGATACAAGTTAATTTTAAACCGACGTTCAGTACCGCTTATATATGTAGTGTAATATTTTATTTTTATAAATCACTTGTTAACATGAATAATGGCGATACAATAGCCGTTTCAATTCAATATACATTTCGTATGCGGCAAAAAGTATTTAGGAAAGTAATGCGACATCACATTTTACTGTATATACTCTATCTCTTTATAAAGTTTCATGTATTGTCCAAAGTATAGTTAAATGACATCTGTGCCTACTTTACAAAGAGCAGAGAAATCGCATTTATCGAGGATTATACATATATGTATACTACACAAACTTTTAAAGCTGTAACTCGCGTACTTTGTTTCTTTTCAACGGTTTAATCATGTTTATAGATAAATCCTACTTTAGCCAGTGTTCTCTGAAACTATTTACTATTTTGTATAGCGATCGTATATGTACTAGATTTGTATAGCATTTTAATCTCTTTAATATCATATTGCCAAATTGTCATTGGATTCTTTTGATAGTATTAACATTGTGTTATTCTTGCCTTGTATTTGTTGTTCTATTTGTAAAAGTGAGGCTATTGTAAACGAAATAATTTTTAGGAATCAGTCTACAATTGCCAGCGTCCTAAAGTTCCATCACTTAGAAATACTAATTTAACATTTGTATCTCCGTCAAATTATCATTGAATGCTTTCGATAATATTAATATTGCGTTAAACTTGCCTTGTAGTTGCCGTTCTATTTGTAAAAGTGAGACTGCTGAGGATAAGATGATTAGAAAACATTCTACAATCGCTTAGTACCCTATGAAAATTTTATCATGGAAATAATAATTTAATATTCGTGAAGAAAGATATACGGCCCGCATAGTCCTCGAGAAAAAGCGGTAGCTGCAACTGAACTTACAACGGAAGGAAAGTGATGTTTGCCCAATGATAAGCATATTTGAGATACGATATAAGTATAAAAGCCAAACGTTAAGTAAACAAATTTTCGCCAGCACTTGATGCAATTTGTATAATCTACTTGGGCCTTCTTTCATAAAACTACAAGACTCGCAGATCCAATTTAACTACCAAATCGTGATTAGAAAATACTGCAGAATCCTGCTGTAAGTTCTAAATTTAATCAAGATCTCCTTTTTTTTGCAGTTTTATTAGTAAGAATTTGAATTAAAAAATATAAAAAAAGAGAGAGCCGGTTGGCCAATCACACAGTGATTTATTTTTTCTCAAATATTATTGGAAGTCTCGTAGTTTTATGTTTGGCCCTGCGTTAGTGTGTTCATACGAAACTTTCGTCATCGATTGCTGCTTGTAACATACTTCCAATCGATTTTTTTGTGCGAACTTAAAAATCTGTCTTGCCATTCATAAAACTGCGCATACTAAATGCAATATGACGTTATTTTCATTTTTTATTAATTCTTTTGAATTTAGCGACAAATTGCCGTGTCGGACGTGTGTTCATCACATAGGAAAATTTATCAGTTTATAACGTTCAAGGTTTGCTCTGAAAATCTGACTCGAAAGAGTTAAGCAAGGTTAGTCATTTTCTACAATTATATGTAGCGAAGAGAAAACGCGGCAAATTATATATTTTGACGCGTATTATTTCCATTGTTAACAATGTATAGATTAAACCACGTATTAAATATCATTTAACTTTTTATTTGGAAGTTACGCTCGCGGCTTTAGTTAAATTAATAGCAGTGCACATCGCCGAACCGAATTTTTCAAACCCCGAACGTTAATAGCGGCGATAGATTACGTTCCTTTCTTAGCTTTTTTTCGAAACACATCCTGAAGTCCCCACGATACTAATATCACGTAGATGTTAAAACAGCAAACATATGTAAACGGTAGTCTTCGATATCGATTTTGGTCTGTAAATTGTATCGTCTTTCATATTCGTTATGTACCTAAGATATAATACTAAGCATTAAAAAAAAAGAGCCAGGGAATATAAAGTTCTATATCGTACTACACGCGCATGCGAGAGAGCTTTACTAACTTACTAATTACAACTGCAATAAGCGCGGAAGGAAAAGTGCCTTCTTGAAAGAACAAAAAAAAAGAAAAAGCAGGAAACCAAACGTACCGTTTATAGGGTTAAATTCAGAAACTTATCAATCTGTATATTTAATTTGCTTTTCTGGCATGCTTCTCTCTTTCTGTGTAATGCAATAATTGTAAAATTTGATAGAGCTCCAATTGTTATCGCCATCGCAATTTAATACGTAACATATGCATGTAAGATATTCGGTTTTTCTCGTCCGTTACATTTATTGTTCGCGCGGAGGAATTAGCTGTGTAAAACAAAAGAGAAATATAAGTTCTACTTGAACGAAACTTGCAGACATGAACAGATACGAGTTGTCTCTTATCTCGTTTCTTTTTTTTCCATGTATTTTCGTCGGTTGACGATGCAGAAACGAGTCGCTCCAAGTTGAGCGACCAGCATTCCCGAGCACACACCGTCAGTTTATGCCAATTCTTTGGTGGAAATATTTTACTATAAAAATGTAACGAAATTTTACCGAAATGTATTTAAAAGTTTCAATTGTATGACCTGGTTTCATTATCATTTCTAAAATTTAGTAAAAAATTATTTCTTTTTCATTAAAAAATAATAGTTTTTTGTTAAAACTACTAAATTTTACATCTAATATTTCAGAATTTTTTAATTTTTCACGGTATATTTTAATTTTCTTCATATTTTACAGTATTACATTAAATTTTCCAAGGGAAATTGTAATTCCTTTTGAGATACATTCAGTAATTTTTTAATAACTTTTACTTCACTTTTCATCAATTTCATAATGCCTTCAGCAAAATATTTCTATCAGGGTTTTGATAGTTCCTGGTATATCGCTCAAGGATTACAGTAAAATATAACAATTAGGAGGAATCACCTATATTTATTATAAACGATAATTTTTACAGTTGACGCATCGGCGCGTCACGTTAATGACACGTGGGATCACCATATCTCTATCCGAGTATTCTGGATTTTCCACGTGGTGACGCCCGCAGAATATCTCGATCTCCGCACGTAAACGTTCCTACCTCGAAGAACTGGCGCTTACAATCTCGGCACCGCACATCTGGCGTGTACGGTGATGCTCACAGATTACGCTACAAATCACTCATTCGGAGACGAATGCTTACATTACGGTAATGGATATGTAACAAATGTACATTGTCCAAAATGTAGACAGTAAGTTGATGGTAGATAATTATACGTATAATTACTCTAACGAAATATAAAATACAACATTAAATGTAATTTGTAATACTAACGTCGACATTAGTGAAACATGATCTTACCTCCCCTTCCCCTCTCTGGTAGAAATATTCACTGAAAATATAATAAAATTTTGCTGAAATGTATTTAGCCCTCTCAATTGCTTCCATTGTCATTTCACCAATTTTAGTAAAAATTCAGTGAAAGATCATTTTCATTAAAAGGTAACATTAATTCAGTTAAAAAATATCTCATAATTATTACTTTTCAACAGTGCACTTTAACTTTCCCTATATTTCACTGTATTACATCGAGTTTCCCAAAGAAAATTAATTCGCTTTGATACATTCAGTGATTTTCAAATAACTTCAAAAGTGATTTTTATTGATCTCATGGTATTTTCAGTAAAATATTTCCATCAGGGTTATATATTATACAGAATTCTGAATGTTAAAACTCACAGAGGAAGAGAATTATCCTTCTTTCCCCTCCCCTCCCCCTTGCATAATAATCTTGTAAAATGTCGCGATACGAACAAAGAGGATTCAAGTTTGTTCACTCAGAAAAAAAGGTACACAGGTGTGATGTGTGATAATTAAATCCATTTTATTTCGTAGCAACATCTCGCCTGATAATTTGAATGCTAACATCGTCTGAAATCGTTGATGTTTATTGGGTTTTCTGTTTTTTTTTATTACCTACATTTACAGCTTTGTTCTCAGAGGCTCGCGAGATACATCTACGACGAGCTATCTCTCCTGCACGCGTGTGTGTATACCATTCGTAGTTCGTTTTACAGTTTTTACAGTTTACAGATCTCTTCGCGCGTCTCCGCGCGTGCTTTACAAGTTCGGACAAAGGAATTTATCTCTAACCCGATCTCTCTGCTAGACGTCGCGATATTCTCGTTGGCATATGAACTCGAAAATGGAACAAACATGTACACACGTACACACATTATGCAGAAATTTGTTACAAATAAATTATCGATGTGTGTAATTATGTTCCTTTGGTATCGGACATTTTATTAATTCGGGGCAACGTAGTATACAACATACTTGATGCTAAATCTATGTGCATCGAGCATTATTCATTCTTTTTCGCCGACCCGTCCTTTGCCGGGCGGTCCTTAACAGCTGCTTGTTTCTTGTTCTCCACGAGCTGCGCCTCCATCTCGCCAGAGAAGCCAAACTCGTTCACGCGAGTGTGATCGGTCTTGTATATCCATCTTTGGTACAAAAATATGAAGAAAACAATGTCGTCGCGGAAGCAGCCGATTCTGTACAACGTTGGCATCTTTATCACAAATGCAAAGATATCGTCGATAAACGTGTTCAGGAATTTGTACGACAACATGCGCCATGGGAGGTGCGCGACGCTCTTCAACTTGTAGTTGATGAACAGCTGCGGCGTCATCATGATAAATCCGAAAGTCAGCAGGAATCCGTACAACATACTGAGGATCCAGGAGTACCATCCCTTATGCTCCAGATACATTAAGGAATAAATGGCGTATCCCCCGAGCAAAGGGTACAGCGCCCATGAAAGATACTTGAAGGCGAGCCTGTCGTATTCCTTCGTAGAAGACTCCACGTACGATCCCTTGTCTTGGAATGATATCTTCGGGAAGATCCCGAGTACTTTCGCTTCTCTATTGACATTAATGTCCACAACTTTATTGATCTTCCACACCTCGATACACAAACCTATCGCGCAGCTGATGCGCACAACCGTATTCGTCTCGTTGTCCAGAACGTAGAGGAGAACGACGAGGGACTGGAATACATTGAAAAATACAGAACGCACCGACAACCCTTCCAACGATTTTCGGTTGTTCCAGAATTGGATGTCTGAAAAGCACAAGGACATTTCTCAGAATGCTTACAGCTGCGCAACACGGGCGAGATACATTTTTATTACTCATTTGAAATGGACTCGGACTTTTCAACAGCTTACCATTCTTAAATGCTAGAAATTCAAACACACTATGCAAAATTGACACAAATATAGTCAACCCTAATAGATATGGATTCGTTTCGAGCAAGGTTTCTTTCAGAGTATCTTGATCGTTATCATCATCGTCAGATGCCTCTCCTGTGTGAACAATAACAGATGATAAAACTCAATAATCACGATTTTTCACGCTACTAGATAAGGTACACAGAACGCTACATTCGCTATCTCAGCCACGTCATGGAGTGTTTGATTCTTGGCTAATTGTTTTAAACGTCACCATGAACGGGCGTGCGCATTGAAGAGACAGCTAAATGTCCTGCTGGAATGCTTTACTTGTAACTCAGTTTCTTCATTCCAATGTCACCTTTGATAAGGGAAAAACCACTGATCAAACCGGTTCGTTCATTTGGAAATATTCTTTACATTTAATCTCATCTTTACGTAAATCTTTTATCAAGTAATATTCGCCGAACTCTGTTCATGTTCCCGTCGTGCATCCACTTTTACATACTTTTCTTTACATTACAATGAAAGTAATAACTTGAAACTTTATCATCAGTATCGTGACTTTTCCAGACAAATTACTTGCCAACATCTCGGATATGATTGATGCACATAGGTGATCGAAGAGTACAAATCGTAGCGTTCTGTATGGCCTTAGCTTAAAATCTCAGCCACTTTTCAAATGTAACCAACCCATGAATGACGACGTCCATTTATTTCTAACAGACTGAGCCGCGTATATCTGCCACTTGAACAATGAAAGCGGCTGGTAAGTCAACCTGAGCTCCAATTGCTCTATGGTATTATTTAACGGCTGATAGTCCCGCTGCATGTTCCAAAAATCATTCATATATAGTATCGGCTTGTAAGAATTTCCACCGGGTAAGAAATGTATATCTAAGAGAAGAGCAATACGGAGTATTTTTTCGGTACCACAGGTCTATGTGCGTATAATGCAAATATATCTGCAAACTTACATTCGTCCAATGGCTGCGGTACCTGACCGTACACCCAATTGGTTTCATCAAACACTAGGTTAACGGTCAAATTTGGATGCCAGTGCGACACGTATTCCTGGTCCATCAATTCGGCTTTCTGCAAGAGATCGGCACGTTCAGCATACGCGATACGTAACTTGGTAATTTTAAAGTTTCTCTTTCATTGGAAAAGAAGTCATTAGGAACGAGCCTATCTGGCACGTTTACGGGTCTTCCACTTTACTTAGAACTAAATCATGGAGCCATGTAAAAAAGTGAACGCTCCGTCCTGTCGATTATGTACAAATGACTGGCATTCTTAAGATAACACTTGAACAAATTAAAATTTAATAATTTTGAAACTTGAACAAGCATACGCACCGCCATCTCTTCTTTACTGGCTGTACTTTCACCGGTCAACAGGTTGTGCCTCTTCTGGTACCTGATTTTTTTAAACTTGTTCAACATCTTTCGCGAGTAGGACACATAGTCGCCGGCGTAAACGCCCTTGCCAGCCTTGGGATTCGGCGACTTTCCAGTTTTTGTTATGTATATGTGAAGGTAGATCGAGCCGTTTTGTTTCAACCGCTCGGAAGGAACAAACGTGTGCTCGAGAACCCTGGATCCATCTCGATCTGGCCCGCCATACCAATCCCCATAAATCAGGCCCTCCTCGAACCAAATTAAAGATCGTGGATCGTCGAACCTCTTGAAGTTCTCCGACTCCGACAGATAAACACTAAGGTCAAATAACGTCCCATTCGAAAATATATTTACAGCTTGCAAACGCGCGTCGCCAACAGCGCTGGGAGACTTGGGATTATTATCAGAGCGTCTAAAGAGGCTACTAATAAAATAAATTATAAGAGCTCGTATGATCAGCGATTTTGTTATGGCAAAAAACGATTCTAGGCGCGACTGCTGTGCCTTCTGCCTCTGATCGTTATTCTCCACGTTTGCCTGCAAGAAACATCTCCAAATTACAATCAGTGCCTTGACGTTACTTCAGTGTAGCGGCGTAACGTAAAACGACAATTCATGAATAAATTTTTATATCCACAACTTCACCTAAGTGTGCGCGGTGTCGCGCGAGTTTTTAATTTAAAAAAAAGAAGGGGAGAAAAAATTCATGTATAATTTAAAGACATGTAAATCCCCTCCGTCTTCGTGTTCGAGACACCTCGCAGCGCGACCGTGAAAATAGAGACAAGCGATAAATGTAGCAAATTAACGTACGTCTGCTTCGTCGTTATTTTGTTCGGTTCTCGGTACCAATTCACCGTTCGGTTGACTGTTATCCATGCTTTCTGTGACATCTACTTCCGCGTTGTCACGACGATCGTCTCCATTAACCACCATTTTTTTCGCCAAGTCCCGTGAGCATCCTTCGATCATAAACAGAAGAAACGCAGAGGCGTTTCTGGCGCAACCATAGACATAATATATCTAGACCGAGCATATTGAGCAGTGGAGGGGTAGAGATTCGCGTAGAAAAGGACAAACC